TATGCAGATCTTTGTCGGCAAGGTGATGTCTCTGCTTTTTAATATGCTATCTAGGCTTGCTATAGCTTTCCTCCCAAGGAGCAAGCATATATATATGCTTAAGCAGCTATAACTATTCTGTTCACTTTACTTCCATTTTAATTGCTTAGAAATTCTAATCTAGACTATAAAGATGATGCTAGATTCTAAGAGAAGTGACAGATGAATTTACATACAATATAAGAATATGAATGTGTGTGTCAACATGAACAAGTGGTATATGGTCATAAAGCAAGAAGCCCTTCCTACCTTGGCTTATGCTCAATAGATGTAACTTTGCAGTTTGATTCTGCTACGGGTGGAAAAAGAAAGGAGAATGTATCCGCAGTTCGTTCTCAATGTATTAAACTAATCTTTTTAATTATAGCAAAATTCTCCATGATTCGGAGGGAGTCATTAGAGGATCAGTGCAAATTCATATGGAATAATTTTATCAATGAATGCAGTGTCTTAATTTTAATACTCAGTATTACCCTCATTAGCTTGTACTTATCTGAAATGTTGGGAAAGAATAAAGAGCTTGGGACTCTGAGGTATATTCTACAGAGCAAAATAACATGGCCACCTTAAATTGCTCAACATGAAAAAATCCTAAAATGCCCTTTACTTAGATGAAGATGTGTCTTTGCCTAATAAGGATTTTCTCTCTGCCTATGCCAAAGTACATAATTTCTACATAAGGGAAACAGTTTCTATTTTCCTGTCTAGGGAAGTTTCAAGGGGGTGCTGTACAAAAGCATGAACTCTTCCAGTGAACAAAAAAAACTCAGTTTGCATAAATTAACGTGTGAACTTCTGACCCATTGTGTCCAATTAAAAGTAATGGTCTCCCACACAAGGGCATGGATGTAATGTAAACTGCACAGTAAAATAAGCTTGTCCTGAGTATGCTAGATTAAAATGAGCTGGTCATATTGAATGCCTGGGAACTGGTAGCCAGGAATATTGTGCCTAATTCTCAATCTCTTGTATCAGGATAGGTGAAGTTACATGCGAATCAATGCATGATTCTCAATGTCAGGTTTATACTATAATACCAGTTGACAGATATAGTGGGATGGGGCATTTCTAGGAAAATAAAAATATCCTACCCCATTATTTGTTTTCTAGACCCTTAAGATAAAAATAAATCTAATGGGGTCGGAAGCAAAACTGGTTGTAAGTTATTAAATATGCATATGTTATTTGTTGAGCAAAAAATGAGTGTTTATAGGGTGAGCTATATATATCCCCATGAGTTCCTTGAAGAAAATATTTGAAAAAGAAATTAAAAAGTAAAAAGATTGGCGGGGCTGCATATATTTTTTGTGCTGGCCAGCTCACACTAGCTGGGCAAAGTAGAAATTTGATATATGCATTTGTTCTAATAAATGTGTAGCTTTTTCCATAATAGCCTACAAATTCAGGCTCAAACTCTGATCTAACCGAGGTGAGATTCTCTGCAATTTAGACTGCAGGAATTGCATCCTGTTCCCTTTATAGAAAGCAACACTGTTGGGGACAATCCTAGACTAGAACTTTTCTTGTTGATATGCAACATTTTCCCTATTGTGTTGTCCTCCAGATGTGTTTGATTACAGCCAGTTGAAAACTCCCTCGCTTACAGTAAAATCCTCTACTGCGGCAACAGATTAATTTTTTAAAAAAGGAAATTGCCTTTCCAAGTTTGCCATTCTGGCCCAGACTAGATAAGATTCATCTATAAAATTGGAGTTAGACTTCAACATTAAAAAGCAAGAAAAGGTGCAGAGCTGATCATGCCTTTTTGTCCCTCCGTTTGGCTCCATCCAGAATGCAGGAGCGCAATCTGCAGCAGGTTACCTGTGTTCCTGGAATATGCAGGGGCAACATTTGGAAGTAAGAGTAAAGGGAAAAATAGGGATGTTAAGTTATACATTTAAGGCCCTTATTTCACCCCTTAAACTCTCCAATCCTTCCTACATTGGACTGATCTTTTTTCTTTTTTTAGAGTTTTAAGGCACCTATTTTAAGGCACCTCAAAATCTGGCCCAAGTTTGGCCTCGTGACATTGCTGGCCACGTCCCCTGAACCTTTCAGGGGCCAAACCAAGGGCCACCTCTCTTCCAGCCACAAGAAAGTCACTTTAAAGTGCTGCAACTTAAGAATGTTTTGCTGTAGAGTTTGTCTTACTAGTCTTCCTATTGGAGTCAAGTTGCCTGTGTAGTCTTTTCAGCTCAACAGTAATTTTATCCCAAAGCAAATGAATTATGGTACCAATTATGTATTTATAACTTGTTACTTCATTATATAGGCTGTATGGGAGACTGTTAATTAATGGCCAAGTAGCTTAACATATTTGCTTTGTTTCTTTTTTTAGTGACAAACCAAAGTAACTCTTCAAAAGGAAGAAGCTTTATCGGTCATAAAACCAATTCAACAGATAAGGAAGCGTACAACATAGATGACTTCGCTGCCAAAATCCTCACAGGAAAACTGACTACAGTTTTCTTCCCTGTGATCTACATTATAGTTTTCATCGTTGGCTTGCCAAGCAATGCCATGGCTCTGTGGGTTTTTTTCTTCAGAACAAAGAAGAAACACCCCGCAGTGATCTATATGGCTAACCTGGCTCTGGCAGATCTCCTCTTCGTAATCTGGTTCCCTCTGAAAATTGCGTACCATATTAATGGCAACAACTGGATTTATGGGGAAATCCTATGCAAAATACTTGTTGGGTTCTTTTATGGAAACATGTACTGCTCTATTCTTTTTATGACATGCCTCAGCGTGCAAAGGTATTGGGTAATTGCAAACCCCATCCTGCACTCAAGAAAGAACTCGGAAATTGCTGTGAGAGTTTCAGCGGCAGTATGGGTACTGATACTGCTTGGCACAGTGCCACTGTATCTTGTTGACCAAACTGTTTATATTTCTAACCTTAACATCACCACTTGTCATGATGTCTTACCTCAGGCTGTGTTGGCCAATGACATGTTTAACTACTTCCTTTCCCTGGCCATTGGGGTCTTCTTATTCCCAGCTGTTCTCACTTCTGTGGCTTACATTCTCATGATAAGGACTCTTAATGCTTCCACAACAGATGTAACGATTGGGAAGAAAAGGAGAAGAGCCATCAAGCTCATCCTTACAGTGCTTTCTATGTACTTGATCTGTTTCCTGCCTGCCAATATTCTGCTTGTGGTCCATTATGCCCAGATCAAAAGCAGCGGCCTCAGTAACATATACGCATCTTATATCACAGTGCTTTGCCTTTCTGTTCTAAACAGCTGCATCGATCCATTTATCTACTACTTCATTTCAAAAGACTTTAGGGATAATCTGAAAAATGCCCTCCTCTGTCGAAGTGTGCGCACTACCAAGAGGATGCAAGTCTCCCTCTCTTCAAACAGATACCCAAGAAAATCGCCCTCTTATTCCTCCAGTTCAAACACAACTAAGTCAACTTACTAAATTTGTGCATGTAAGACAGGAATGCCTGGGTTCCCATGGACAGAACATTAAACTGAACTCCAATAACATTTAATAAACAAATGTTCAGAGCTGGTAGACTTATTTTCCATACAGAATCATATGAACAAGCATGCTCTTCACAAAGGGAAAAATCAATGTGGCACCCCTGATATGGATAATACTGTATATTTGAGTGTCGTTTTTAGACCACTGCAAGACAGGATTGTTTTTACAACTGATTAGCAGATGTGCAAAGAAGTCTTCCATGTTGGTGTTGATCAGCCAAGCAACTTGCACCCAGTGCTCAACTGGTTTGAGCTTTTAGGCAAGTTCTGTTTCATAAGAACAGAAGGGGAATTGTAGGAGAACATGAGTAATTGTCCCTGTTTGCCAAACCTGTCTTTTCCTAATCCAGGATCCGTGAAAGCCCTGGAATACCATATTATTGATATCCCAGTGACTGTTCTTTGCACTAATATACTTAATACCTTTATTTTAACTGTGCTATGAATATGCAATGTTTCCAGTAATGTAGCATGTAATTATTTGCTTACTGCAATATTTTAAATGTTTTTAATTAAAGGAATGCTTTTATATACAAGTGAGTTTGTGTGGATTGATAAGAGCTCTGTGACAATTTACTTTCACTTAACCAAATTTCTTTCTTCATGTGAAACTTCCCTTTTCTTCTCATCAGCTCCAAATGAAATAAAGATATAAAAACCACATCTCCAAATCAATGAATGGATCAATAGAAGAACTGGCTGATTTCATTTTCTCCCTCTGCATGATGCCCAGGGCCACTAGTGTGTCTAGTCAGGCTTCCTGCCCATCCAATTGTATTTTATTAAATTTCATGTTCAAAAAAATGAGAAGCTGGCCTGCTCTAAATCACCAGCATTTAGCACCATCTTATATTTTTCTTCATAATGGTCCCATAAGCTTTCTGAAAAAACTAAAATAGTGGTTGACTGACTTCAGCCCACTGCTTTGTTTAAATGTAGTCACCTGTCCAAAAGAAGAAGAACAACAAAAGGGAAACTACAGTGAGAGAAAGCATCTGGCTGGGACCGAGAGAAACAATTTCCCCAATCTGATTTCTGTGAACTTAGTATCTTGTTAATAGCCATGGTCTCCTAGGGGAGATACTTTGTAGGAGCATCTCTAACATACTTTCAATGTTTTAAATGTTTTCATCAAACCACAAAGGTTGGCTGTCCTCCCCCTTTTCTGTTTTATAGAGCCTTTTGTAATAAAGGTGATCTAATTGCCATTTCTTTTAGTCTGGTCCTACCAGCCTTTTAACTTAGATTGCAACTTGCCTGGTGTCTTTATCTCTGTGGCTAATCCAAAAACAAGGGCTTTTTCCCTCTCTGACAATGTAGACTGCTCCTGAATTAGGCATGACAGGATGCAAGACTGTTTATGGGCTTTGCTTGTAGGTATCAAAACAATGATCAATGACTTGTTTTCTCAGTAATTCTCTCCTGGGTTAAGGAGAGATTTTGGAAATCAAACCATGTCTCTAATTTACTTGATCTTACAAACATGTTTGAAAATAGCATCAGTAAATAAACTAATGTAGGCAAGTCAGTGTTCGTAAAACTTTGAAAGTCTTAGTAGCAGCATCAGGTTGAACTTCTCATGATTCAAGGAAAACCCTTTTTCTAAGCTATTAGTGCTTAAGAACTTGCTTTCTTCTTTTATTACTAAACTGTACATCCCACATTTTTCCTGTAAAGAAAACAACAAAGCAAGTTAAAGCATTACATTTACAAGTTTTTTTTAAAAAAAATGGGGATCTGGAAACATTTGTTCCAACTGTTCTGAGCTCAAAACAAAACATACTGATTGGTATGTCATACCCCTATGGAAGAGTCAGTAGTTAAAAAAATACCAAAGATAATAAAACTGCAAATCCTAAAAATTCTTAAACTGTATTAACTCACATTCACAGGCAACATCAAATAAGCAATGAGAGGTCACAGAGCCTTGGGGATGATTATCTTATCAGTGGTGGACTTGCGCAAAGTATCTCATTTTAAAAAATGGATTATTTTTTAGTTTTCAAATATTTCTCTTCCTGCCTGCCAAACAAAAATCTTGGCAGTTCTGTATTCAGTGTAGCTATGCTGACGTGATCATCACAATCCCTAATTTTCCTTCAGATGCTTTCTTAAAATGTAATCTCCAAAACAGTGTGCCTTAAAAACCGAATCTTTTTCAATAATCCTGCAACTTCCTTTGTGAAAGCGATCTATGCCTTTTCTGTTGTGTTGGCTGTGAGCTTTCTCTTTTTAAGCAACTGCTGAGTAACTTTTCTATGACAGGGTCTCCTGTGCCCTGTCAGGACACTACCTAGACTATTTTACAGGAGCCTGCTGGCTGCATTTCTCTGTGAGTCACTACTCCAGGAAGCTGCCTTCCAAATGAGTCACACTCAGAAATATGAGTCATGTAGAAATACAGGAAAGAGTGGGTTTTGTGCATAATCCTTACTTTTTTATGTTCTAAAAGCAAAGCACCTAAATTGTCAGAAAAAAAGTGTCTCCCACTTCAATTCCTGGATAAAATCTGTCTTAGGAATGTAGAAACATTTTACGTATAGAAAATGCGTGCAAAACAACCGCTAATGTTGGTATTCACCAGATGTCTCGGCCTTCAACTGCCATTAACTTCCCAAAGGTCAGGTATTCTGGAAAATTATGAGGCTTAAAGTCCAAAGAGATAATATCAGATGGATAAGGTTAGTTTGGAAACTCAGACTTGAAAAGGAACATATTAAGAATATGAGGAGACCAAAGGAAGACTTGGTAACATGGTTCATACATCATGGTAAAACATGATTTACTGAATAAGCTACAGTTTGCTGGGTTCACACTGTGCTAAGCCAGAAATCATGGTTTACAAACATGAGCTGGGTTGGAAGCATTAATACTAATAGACGGTGCCTGCCAGCCCTTAAAATATTATTTATTATTAAAATGACCCAAATTTCACAACCCAACAACATTGTAGAAGATCTGTGCTTCTGCAGATCTTGTGAGTTCAGCTATCTCATTTTAAATTCAAAATCATTGCAAAATGTATGTTAATTTGGGGACTGATATCTGTGCATACTCATTCCTAGGTACTCAGTCTCCAGTCTTTCCTCAGACTGCTTCTCCCTTTCACTCGTCCTCACCTTTTTTCACCTTTGCCTTCTTGCCTCCCGAAAACAATGAAAAGAGAGAGGTATGCTGCAAAGTGAAGTCATCCCAGCAATTGCATTTTGCCAGGGACACATAAAGAATGCAGGAAGGAGGAAGGGGAGTCATTCCCAACTCATTGTAAATTGCCCTAGTTTTCTTTTGCTTTGTCCTCACCATTACAAGTCACAAATATTGAGTGACCATGAATCATGAGTCAGAAAGCAAAGAGCGTGGTAGTCTCTTCATTAAAAAAAAGAACAGAAAAAATGTGCCAGTATATCTGTTCTCTTCAGTGCAGAGGTACAAAAAGGTGTGTGTTGCGGGGGGCTTGATGCAAAGCAGTTGAGTTTTTTACTGCTTGCAATATGCTGCCATTGATCTGCAGCTTGCATTGTCCTATTGAGGGGGACATTCCCACAATAGATGCAGGGAAATCCTTCTACTGCAGGGTAGGGCTCTGGAACAGGAGAGGTCTCTATTGATTAAAAAATAAAAAGAGCGGTTTGCCATTGAGCTTGCGGGGCTGGAGTGGTCTCCAGACTAGATCCACTGGATTTGCACCTGGTAAGTCCAATTCAATGATGTTTTTAAGAATAATTGTAGCACAGCCTTTTCAGGAAACATAACCTGAAAAAATGGTTCTGTACTGAAGCTGAATAATATTCGAACAGGGGGGTCTATGCTGCAAAGTGGTTTTTCACTAAAAGTCTCCTACTGCTCTGTGAGCTCCGAAGAAAGGCTCTGCCCCAAGAGTATTCAGAAACACAGCAAAATTGCTGAAAGGATGGTCCAAGGCAATCTCACCAGACATGTTCATAAGCCTGTGTTTGTGGCAACAATAAGAGGTTGGAGTATCTGTTGCCAGTGTTTTGCTTTTAGCTGTGGCTTTAAATGAGTTTCTGTTAAAAAGCAACTCACCTCTTTGACGATGCGTCAGTATTTGGCTGTTTCTTCTACCCACCAAACTGCAGTGTCTTTGACTAGTGACGTTACAAGGCGACTGCTGCATATTGTAACTCCTTCTTACCCCTCAAGTATCTGCCATAGGCATCAGGTCAGAAAAGCTAACAATGGGATGAACCAAAACTCATAGTAAGCCCACATTCTTCTAGAATGAATAACAAAGAACTTAGCAAGTAACCAACTTCTTTAGAATTTTTCACCAGGCTGAAAACATAGTGATAAAAAAAAAAACTTTTAAGAGTAAAAGGGAATGAAGTTGAGTGCACTCATATAATCAAAGAGATACATATTGCATAATAAGTAGATGCAGTAAATGAATATTGCTAGGAATTATGACATAGTTTGCTGTTCAGCACAGTCTTAAAATGGAATGGATGATTTGGTATGCAAACTTAATTAGGCTTTTAGGCTGTGTTTCCATCACATTCTGCAAAAAGGGCTATCAGAAAAAAATATTGCAATTGTCCAATTTGGTTTTCAGTGCTAATTAGAATGAATAGGTCACTCACAATGCAGAATGCAGAGGCAAGGAAAACAAAGCAATCCTTTACATTAACAAACAGGGTGATTAATTTTAGGTAATGACAAGGCCTTCCCATCCTGGAACTCTGAGATATGTTGAACTACAAATCCCATAATTCCCCAACAAATTGGAGAAAACTGATCAAGAACAGCTGTACATACTCTTACCTGTTCTGTGCATATTTTTTGGACACGTCTGTTTTTCTCCAGTTCCTCCCTGCTCCCTTTGCTATGCCTGGAATATCTTCCTAATATCTTCCCATGTTTAAAACAAATGACCAGAGAGGTAGGTGTGCTAAGAAAAGGGCTAGCAAAGGCTTTGCTGAAGAAAGGGGAAGTAATTTGATGATTTTCTCTTCTGCAGTAGGTCCCTAATTATATCTAAATTACCTTCATAGCCATTTGGCTACGATTTCATAGATAGACTATTAAATCCATGACTTCTCCATTCTTTCCCATCATACAGATTGTTATCATCTTAGACTAAATCCATAATGTTCCATGCTTCATATAACTCAAAAGTAGCATCTCTGATTATTTCTGCATTCTGAGAAGTTCTAAGGGACTCATCTAGCAGGAATTCTTCCTCTTTTTCAAATGCACCCCTACATTTGCATTCACTTTTGGAAATGGAAATAGGATTCTGAAGGCCAAAGCTTATGTTAACAGGAATCAAATTATTCTGTAACTTTCTGAAATTCTATGGCAGTAATAATATTGCTGGTTCTCCTGCTACAACCACCAACATTACCACCCATGATGTTTGGCAGATATATGCCCTTGAAAAGCCAGTTTAAGCCTAATGCTTATGGAATAGACTTTGCATGAAATTGTGTCTGTATTCTGGCTGTGGGCTCTTTGCCTGATTAGCAACATTAGATTTTTGTTATTGTACAGTATATACAAATATTAACAAACCTACGTGATAAAGATGGATATCTGGCACACATACACACTCCATCTCTCATCCAAGAGAGGCGATTTTAGGAACAGAAACTCCCTTCTGTTAGATCAAAACACTTGTCCAACTAGCTTCAGCTTGTGTACTCTCACTTGCAGTCCTTTTCTGGGATCTCAAGTAGTTGTTCCCTAAATTGTGAGATTAAATTTGGGTCTTGTGCATACAAAACACATGTTTTTCCATTGAGTGATAGTTAATCACCACCAGTGATAGAAAGGCTGAAGTTTTTTTCATAATAGAAGAAGCAAGCAGCTAGCTATATTTTTATTACAATTGGACACAGAATTCCATATAGCTCTGTGAATTGCAGGAAACTCTTTTTTAATTGTGGCTCACACAAAGTGAACATTATATTGAATCCCATTCCCTCATGCCACTTTTGTTAAATATATTTGGAAAGGATGGGTTTCATTTAAGGAAATGTGTAGCTTATTTTGAGGAAGTTCATAGGTGGTGTTAAATTTTAACATAGGTTTCTGGCTTAAACCTGAAGTGTTAAGTATTCTGGGGGGAAGTTAAGCTTAAGTAGGTCAATGGGACCTACTTCTGATCAGGATTTTCGGGACCATCAAGCATGGCATTTTCATGGCTATCTTCAAAGTGCAGGAGATGAGATACGTAATCTGAGATGTTTCTGGTCTTCTTGGAGACTCTGTGCAAAATGAGAAATGGTAAAGCTGTAGCGATGGTGGACTTTTGGTGTAGGAGCCTTGACAAATGCCTGTTTTCACTTCTCTCTGGAGCTAGATCTACGTACTGAGAAACATCCATAAGAGCGGGTGGCTGATTACATTCCTGCCTGTTGAATTAGATTTTTGTTTAGCTAAATATTAATTAGTGTAATGTTAACCAGTAAGTGGCTTAAATATGCTTCCTAGCAACAAGAAATGCAAGTACATTTGACCATTACTTTTTGCCAAAAGCTCTGCATATGCACCCCTCTATCCAAAGGATTAATTATGGCTATTTCTGATATCACACTTATATTTGTTCACCAGGCTAGCTTAAATATGTGATGTGGAGGAGCATGCATTCAAATAACCTGGCACCTAGAGTGGATTGTTCAAAAAACATGATCCTGAATTTTAAGGTGAGGGCTTTGTCAAGCTGAGCTTGACTAGTACTAACTACATGGATATGTCCCTGTAGTTTTATTGGCATCGCTGCAAAAATGGTTTGCTGTTGACCTTCCAGACTAGCCGACAGCCCTGGGAATTGCTAAAGGTTTTTGCTCTAAGTAATAAATATATTTGATCTTGCTTCCCTTTTTTCTTAACCAACCAAGCTCGAAAACTTGCTGTGATGACTGCATTTTAGTATATGTTAAATCATTCCAACTGTATAATTTCATGTTTCTAAGCCAAGTTAATTCTCTTTTGTATCCTAGCAATGTTATGCAACATGAATAGCCACTTGCTATGTTATGCATACTTAGCGAAAGCAAAGGGAGGATTCTGAAGTAAACAATGCAGGTGCTCTATTCTTACCTGGCTGAGAGGCAAGAATGTTGCAGAGCAACACTGTTATGGTTTCTTAATAAGGGCCTTTATGTCCTTAACTGCAGCCAATTTATAAACTCATTATTGTTCTTTTAATATGCTGGGATCAGGTTTATGGTGGATTACAAAATTACACAGAAGTATTCCTGATGATGGCAGGAAAGTTTAGCTAAATATGAAAGAAGCAACAAAACAAATATTAACTTAATCTGGTGCCTATTATAGCAGAGGTGGAAAAAAGTTAAATTAGGATGTATCAGTTGATTTCATTGCGGTTTTACATTGGCAGATTACTGATTCTCAATAGTTTACCAATAGCATCAACAACATGATTTTTCCCAGCTTGAATTATGCTACTCAGATGTAAACTCAGGAGGGATTTTCTCATAAAAAGGTTTCAAGTTTTGTTTAGCTCGAAAAACAAATATTTACGTTCCATAAATGCTTTGGGACCCCCATTTTCATCTGGCTCTTGTAGGTGGCTTGGGGGGGTTCTTAAAAAAAAATAGAAGTCCTTCAACATGTGTCTGACAAGCCTGATGTCTGACTATCTCTGCATTACAGTAGAATTTAGTTTATAATATGTCATGGGCTCCCTCTTCTGATTATATTTTGAACATCAGGTCTTTCAAAAATGTTCCATACCAAAACATTCATTCATTTGTTTAATCAATTTGTATGTTGCCACAACTGTGGAATGCCACAATACTACCTTATCGTAATGCCAGTAATAATTTCTCTGGCTTAATTTTCTCTTTTTATTATGTAGCATCCACAAAACCACTGGGGTTGTTTTGTTTCCTTATTCTATTTATTTATTTATTTACTTACTTACTTACTTATTTATTTATTTATTTATGCTATTATTCAACCTCATATTTATTTTTAAAACCATCCTAAAGGAGAGAACAATTAAAAACAATTGATAACGTGTAAAAACCAATCTACAAATTAGTATCAGCAGTAAAAATGAGGATCATCAGTAAAACACCTCTTAAAAAACCATGTAGTCAAAATTATAAAAACATTCACAAGTCTCAGAATCAACCATATTTGAACTGATGGATACTCCATCTTAGGCGGGTTGTTTTTCCCTGAGGAATTAGTTTAAGAAGGCCAGGTTGATAAGTTTAAGCAAAATCATGCCATATGTTCTTAGAGAAATCAGGGACATTCACAAGGGTAGTCAAAAAAGTCAAGAGGGTGGCTGTGACTTGCAACCAAAGCCCACCCCTTAAAAAGGAAGCAGAGTTATGGTCATGCAGTTGTGGCTGCCATCTTGAACTCTCCTCTGGATGGTCCTGCATCAAATAATATTTTCTGAGAACACCAAAGGCCATTATGAGCCATAAACCTCATTCAAGAAGCTGTGCTTATCTGGCCTGATTATCTTGTTCTATTCCATTAGCTTCTTGCAACACCTGAAGTAGAGTCAAGAGGGGATAAGTTTAAACCACTAGTTTGTGATTATTTCTGTGGCCCTGACAGCCTGAAAGACTTAGCCAGTGGCTTGGGGGGTTAAGTGGATATATTTCAATTCTCTGTTTGCCACAAGCAAGAAACAACAAACTTTCCCTAAAGGCTTTCCCATTGTGTGTGTTAGAGATGAAGTTGCCCTGTAGCAAGACACAAGGGGGAGACACACTCCCAAGAAAATGTCTAGTTCTAATGCACAATAGGAAGATCTTGACCAAAATTATTGTTGTTCTTTGCTCAAAGTTGTTTTATTGTTGTTATTTATGATGTTTGGGGGTAATGTTTAGATCAGTGTTTTTCAAACTTGCCATCTTTCAGATGTGTGGATTTCAACTCCTAGAATTCCCCAGCATGCTGGTTAGGGAATTCTGGAGGTTGAAGTCCACACATCTTAAAGTTGCCAAGTTTGAAAAACACTGGTTTAGATTTTATCAAAGGTGCAGTATTTAAATTGTCTTTTTGTATTCTATGTAAGCTGCTGAGAGTTTTTTTTTATTGTTGTGGGATAGCAATGTGTTTGATAATAAATAAATACATGTAAAACAAGCCCTTTTTTAAAAATTCCACATACTTTTTTTTTAGATTTTTTTTTATCCTGCCTTTATTATTTTTATAAATAACTCAAGGCAGAGAACATACCCAATACTCCTTCCTCCTCCTATTTTCCCCACAACAACCCTGTGAGGTGAGTTGGGCTGAGAAGAGTGACTGGGCCAAAGTCACCCAGCTGGCTTTCATGCCTAAGGCAGGACTGGAACTCATGGTCTCCTAGTTTCTAGCCTGGTGCCTTAACCACTAGATCAAACTGGCTCTCAGAGTTCCAGTCCTCAATCATAATCCTGCCTTTCCCAACTCACGTTCACCCACTCTCTTCACAAGAAGTGTGTTGTGTAGGAAGCAAAGGAAAGTTAACCGGTGCCATTTTTTACAGTGTGCAGAGTACAAATAGAGGTGGCTGTGCTTGGGCTGTGCCTGATATTTTATCACCTGAAACGCAGCAGGAAATGCATTCCTTTCCTATTCAAGATAGATAATGCATCTAGCCAGGTAAGTGATTTGGCACATGAGTCTAATAATATTTAGGGACCCAGAGGCTGCCCACCTAGTCTTGTGAAGATTAAGCATTTTAATTAACTAATTAAATTAATCCATTAAGCATTTGTGTATTTAAATCTGAAAACAATGTACTGAATGAAGGTACTTCTTTTTTTTTTTTAATTTGTAAAGAGTGACATCATCTTTCCAGCAAGCTAAGCTTATGACAATACTGTATTTCGCAAAGGCAAAGACATGGTTGATGGAACCTGTTTGATTTGAGAAGGAATATCCAGGCTCAAATTGCTACTGTAGTTAGCTATGAAGCATCCTGGATGTGGCCAGTCACGATTGCTCACCTTTACATATCCTGCAGGGCTGATATAAACTAAATATATCATCCAAGATATAAATTTTCTTTCTATTAAATTAAACATATTGGTCTTAACACTGGGTTAATTGGGAGAGGATAGATGGAGCAGGGAGAAGAGATTGAAGAAAATAGTGTGTTTTACTTGGTCATAACCATTTGCCCTGTTTGACACCTCTGCTAACACATTTCACAAAACCCATGTGGAACCACTGTTGCCCCCAAAAGACGTGCCCATGTGGTAAGGCATTAACAGGGGTTGATTATGCATGCTGCCTTCAGCCTTTTAGGGAAAGAGTGGGAAATAAATTCCATAAATAATAAGGAAACTCATTGTATCCTCTGGTTTGGTATTTGCAGTTCTTGTGTTCCCCAAGGGGCTGGCTTCCTAGCAACTTAATTGGATTTCTGACCTCTGTATTTTAATGAAGTGGTAGCCTTTCTACTCTCAGCTCCTTCCTTAGTGCTCAGGGAAGCCAGCCAGCCAGTGGAAGGACTCCGGGGAAAGATGCCAACACCTGTTGACGGTTAACAGGCAGTCACAAATAAAGTGAAAGTTGAGCCTTTTTCTCATTGGTGGTTTCCTCCTAGAAGCTCTGGGGAAATAGAAGAGGTTGGGTGGGACTTTCAGGATAAAACCGAAGAGAATCTATACTTGCTGGAGAAGGTACTTTGTTTGGAACTGCTTTAGCTGGGACAGGTAAGGGGGAGAACACCTGAATGTTGTATTTAACTACTACTACTATAAGCCTTTCTTTTCTTTATCCCTGGGTTGCATAACATTTTTGGGGCTGAGGCTCCAAAAATGGTTGAATCAGAGCAAAAACAAGTGAATTGAGTTGAATTAGTAATGCAATCACTTGACAGCATCTTGACATTTCTCCCCCTCTTTTCTTCCATTGAAAATTACATTTGCCTGCAACTTTGAGAGGAGATGGGAATCTCATTTGGTCTGGGCACTTCTGCTTGTGTATCTTGCTTTGCCCTGTTTGAGGAACCCAATGCATGAACATGTCTTCCAGGATTCATCTGTGGAAACCGCTCTCCTAACTTAGCATGGTAAACAACAACTGTGTGCTCCTGATCAAAGCAGCAGAGAAGTTGGATGCTATGCTAATGGATTTCTGAGGAGCTGTGTGTTTATTCCTTTGCGTAAGAGGGAATGACTGCCTTTTTGGAGCATTTGTGAAAGCTGGCCATTAGCTTCTGCTCCTTATCCTTTTGCAGTATGCCATCACAACTGGAGGGTGCGATGGATACCTTAATCAGAGTCTTTCACCATTACTCTGCAAAAGAAGGGGATAAATATAAACTCAACAAAGGAGAACTCAAACAACTTCTCACCAGTGAACTTACTGATTTCCTTGCGGTAAGACCAGATTCTTGTTAAGTATTTTCAGTATTGGAAGGAAGAATTGGGAAGGAGGAATAGTCATTAGTTGATACATGAATAACATTTGTTCTTCCAGATAGGCAATCAAATATTTTCTGCAACAGCAATTGTATTATGTATGTGCAGTATTATGCCACTTCCAAGAGAATGAGCTCTTCAAACTATGTAGCCTGGCATCTTGGTTTCATTATTATAGAAAACACAATGGTCGGCTTTTCATATAGGAATGGGAATGTAGGGATTTTAGGTTCAGATCCTGCTTATGAAGTGTGCTGCCAGTTTGGGATAAAGGTCAGTTTCAAAGTAGACATTACTTAAGCCTCATATCTGGTATGGTAGGACTTACTGTGAGTTGGAACTATTGCAGAAAGAGATTATGCTTAATACATTATTAATCAGATAAAAACATAGATGAAAATATAATTTTAAAAAGACTATTTAAAATGAGTTAAAATACATAATTCCAGCACAAATATGAATGCAATTAAGAGGCTTGGAGAATAAAGTATTTGCCAGAACCAAATGGCCAGCGAAGTAGATTCTAGGAGCCCTATTTCCTTAAACACATACTCCAAAGCTGGAGATATATAATGCAAAAGGTCCATTCCCAAGTAGCCACCAATCTGTACTTCACTGTACAAAGCTGATCACACCAAGACCTGTGAAGATACTTTTAAAGTTCGGGTAGAAATAAACTGGACTCTGTCAGACCCACAACCACAGAGTCCAGCCTTTTACTTCCAGGAATACTGACCAAATGCCTTTATGAATGCACATGCTGGCCATTCTTAGAACTCAAAAGAGACAAAAAGCAAGCTCCAAAACCTATCCATAAAATTAAACTTCTTATCCTGGGGCAAACAGATCAGGAATCTTGTTAAAATGGATGCCACTAAAAGGCAATTGGTTTCTCAGTGGAACTGATGAAATATCTCTGCCCTGATGATGACATAAAAGGTTGAAGTCTTTTATGTCATGTGCTGAAAAAAACTGTTACAATAAAAAAAAAAATCAGAGATCAGCAATATAGTAGCTACAGAGCACCCTAGGGGCACTTCAAGCCTTGAAAAATACAACAGTGTTCTTAAAACTCTTGAAATCTCATGAGATTTTGATGGTCTTCTGCAACAATTTCAAAATTTTGCAAGAACTCAATTGAGAAGTCTGAAAAATTATGAGAACTCAATAACTTCTCACTGGATTTTGGTGGACTTTCATGAGATTTTGTTGATTTGGAGGAGTTAAGATGTCTAAGCAATCATGTAAAAGCATGTGGTGGCACCCATTCTTGACCTCTGTAGTTGTCTGACATTATAAAAAGCATCCTCTTATATTCCTACATAGTAATATTCAGTTATCATGACCAATTATACTTAGTGGATCTCAGGAGAAACAAAGCAGGTGGCTGCATCCTCACTGTTGCTAAAGCTGGGATTGAAGACATCTAGCTTGTGTTTGTAAAGTAATCACAAGTTACAATCCTCAGGTGATTCAAGATCAATGTGGGAATGTGTAGGTCATAGACTTATGTCACACACAGGGACTTAAGAGGTTTGTAGTTTAATCTGAAGGCCATTTGTTTAATAAATCTTTACTTAAATGAAAACCATCTGTTTTAATGAATCGCCTGGAGATAAACCATTCCAAACAGAAATTAACACTAAGGTTGGTTAGCTGCAATATTTCTGAAGCCCCAATGATTCAGTATCTTGATACTGATAAACTGTTAATGTATACCAATGCCAAATTTATTTCTGTAACCTGGATAATACAAAACTGACAGTTAAATACCTGGTCAAAATACGTATTGAGTGTTATGTTTTAAATGAGCTGTAGCAAAAGTTGCAGGCGAGTGCCAGCTGTACTTTTCTTCCTATCTAACTTTTTTCCATTTTAAATTCCTTTTAGTCCCTCATCATGTTCTATACTGTAGGCTCTGTCTATATCCAATGCATTTCTAGTTGCCACATATCCCCCCAGTGGCTTCTCTTGCTGACCTAAAGGCAATTTTAGCAGTTTCCTCCAATCCTTCCCCTTTTCCTTCCAAATCTAAATTCAGTTGTGGACATGTTAAACATAGTATTATTTCCCCAGTTCCTTATTTTATTGGTTGCTAGGCATGCTAACAGATCTCAAATGAAAGAGGTATGTGGAGCAATAATGACTGCCAAATCTCAGAGGACCTAACATCTTTCCAAAGCTTCTTTCTAAGGTAAACTAGCAACAGTTTGTTATGGTACCTCCACATGATGTCATACCTTAGCCATTGGTGCACATTTTATCTCTCCATCATCCCTTTTTCTCTTTTTAAAGATGAAATATAATTAGCCAGACAGGCCTGGGATGGAAGCATAATTTTCAAAAGTATCTAGTTGCTTTACCTAACTGCTCCTCTTCTTGCATTCCTCACACCCACACTGCTTGTTCCATACATTTAAAAAAGGCCCAGAGCAGTTCCATACTTTTAAGAAATTGCACCTGAATTTTAAAATACAGAGAGTGTAAAACATTATCAAAGATGGCCCAAGAATATGCAGATGAACATCAGTCAATATCAGGAAATGTGCTTAAGCTTTTAAGGACTTCATGCCTGAAATGGGATGGCATTTCATTCACAGATTGATTAGAAAATGTGTAGACTCTAAATATAATTTCCTATCTGTGCTAAACAGAGGGACTGCCAAGAAAAGCTCTCACGTCAGGACACATTTCTGGGGAGGATGTGATTTTTGCTCCTCTATTTTGTTCCTAGGTTGTATTTTACTAACACTGTTCTACAGAGATGGGGAGGGAGAAAAATCTGATATACAACAGGCACCTGTAATCTATTTATTCTAATAAAACTTGTAATCTTAAAAATTGGCAGCTCTGTAAAAGCAGAAAGAAAAAATAAAACAAATCAGTTATCACTTTTCTTGGATTGGGTTCTTTTTATCCTGTGTACCATCTTATTAAGATGTCTCCTGAGTGGGTTGTTTCTCAGAGTTTAAGTTGGCTGCAAAATTTTGTCGGTCAGGCAAAAATAACAGAGTGTACACTTAACTTAGTACTGGTAGTTTCAGGGCGGGTCCACCTGTGCTGTGAGCTTCAGTTCCCCTATCTTAGATCTTAACTAGATTATAAAGTTAAGCCATAGCAAGCAGCTGCCCTTTTGATTTCTTTTTAATAGTTTAAATATACAGGGTCCAATTTTGATCAAGATGACCATAAGCACTTTGGGAAGACCAACCTTCTCCAGACACTTTCTTGCAAAACCTCTCTCAGAAAGGGAAGGGGGTTTTAAAAAAGGAAGAACGCAATAAAAATTGTTTATTTTAATCACTTAGTTTTGTTTTTAAACCTGGATCCTACGTGTGCACATACGGAAATTTTATGAATCAAGTGATGAAGGATGGTGGGTATTTAAACCTTTCTGCCCGTACTCAGTGGCATTGCTCAGGATTGCCCCTTTCCACACTTATATTATGTGCTAAAAACAAAACCACAATCCTGCATGTTATGACTTTAACCCAGGGTGGGCAATGTTTTAGAGACCTGGACCACAGTTAAAGTTTTAGAGAAGAAATAGAGACTGCCGTGAGAAGGCTGATGATACAAAATGTACAGGGCTGCATCATCTTATAGGTGGAGCTTATGAATTAATTCATGTAATTGAATGATAGATGTAGAGGAAAAATAAATTAACACTCAGCTTGATAATAAATTAAATCATTGGAAAGATTAAAAATAAAATGTATGCATGTTAAAACTAAGGACATATTTTGAGACAAACACAGGCTGCAGACGCTGTTGTGACAATGGTAAATGTCACTGTTCACATAAAAATTCCCTAAGGTTTACAGAGAAAGCATATACATACCCTCAAGGAAATACAAAGAAATCTCTAATGCAACTCCCATGCCTCAAACAATTCCGTATGCTATTGTTTTTTCTTTCTTTCATAGTGTCAAAAGGATCCCCAGCTGGTTGATAAGATCATGAACGATCTTGATAGTAACAGAGATAATGAAGTGGATTTTAATGAATTTGTGGTTCTGGTTGCCGCTTTGACTGTCGCTTGCAATGATTTCTTTGAGGAGCAAATGAAGAAAAGGGGAGAATAGAAATGGTAGGTAGCCCAAAGTTTAATAGCTAGCCTGTGTAGTGTTTCTTTTGATTAATAATTAACTTAATTGGGTTGATATTTTTGGAATATTGTGGAATTACTTGAAAAGGTATGTCAAAGACCCTCTCAACTGAATATCCATTCAAACCTGAGACCCCAGAGTTAGAAAATATGAAAAAGAAAATGTTATTAAAGGCATCACATTGAGATAAAATTTTTCCTTCACATCCAGACCCTTACCATACGTAAGGATGACAACATTTGAAGTTTGACTCCACATCTTGGGATGGAGACCTCTGGAATATGAATTCTGTTCTGTCCTTGAGAGGACAGAAATTATGTAAACTAGCACAGAAAACTGCAGCCTACAAACTAGGGTTTACAACAAACTGGACTCTAATCTAAATAAGGATCCATGGAAGTGTCTTCTTGTTCCCCTTTCTTCTTTGCAATTCACCATGGTTTAAGTGACTGTCATTTAAATACTTTGCTTGTAGCTTCTACAGAATTTGCAGTAAAACGCCACCATAATCTGTGAGCCATCAGGGTTATAACCAAAAGATGTCTCTGTAGGCTTCTAACCTGCCGAGAGGGAAGCATTCAGCTCAGCAAAGAACAGCACAAGAAAAATCACAGATGTTTACAATCCTCAAATGAGCATTAAAGAGTCCATAACAGTAGCCTTTCCTGCTGTGTCCTAGTTGGGAATCTATGCCTATGTGCTCTGCTCGTGTTCCTTGGAATAGCTCTTTAGATGCTGGTGGCAACAGAGATAGGTAGTCCTTTAACATGCACCCTCCAAGAACGTGCATTCTCCAAGCCCACTGTTCTCCCTGTAAGGCCCTTAACTTGTTGCCAGGTGGAGGAAAGGAATCATAGGAAAGACATCTATGCTGGACAAGCCCCTGCCTCAGGTGCTGCTGGGTTTCTTGCCTGTGACTTGTTTTGAGTTGTGTGGTCATTTACAGCTTATCAGTGGATAAGGAATTCATTATCTTTGCACACACACACCCCTCCGCAAACACATACACAAAAGAAGAGAAAGAAAAACAGAGATTTTCATAAACTATGCATGTTTATTTGTGCCTAGATGCAACATTTACAAAAATGAGTAAATTTTAAACAGAAGTACAACTATCAACCCCAGTAGATGGGTTGGGGGGTGGGCAACAGGACCATGGCCAGGAGACCTCCAGTCCTACTCTGGCCTGAGACGTCAGGTTGATGGGCAGGGTCAGGGTGGTCTGATGGCACCGTGCCTTTTAACCCAGTTGGACAGACGATCCGTTCAAACAGAGGATGCTTTCAGACAGTAAAGGAAATATCAACACAGTTCAAGTTAAAAATATTCTCATTACATAATATAACAAAATACAAGAACATAAAAGCAATAATACAACAATTAATATAAAAACAATTATTTGAATGACACGGGAAAAAGTAGACAGGAGAATCTAGGAAATGGTTGACCAAACTGGCTGGTTTTAATCTATGGCAGAAACATTTGGAGGGGTGTGGGTGTGTGGACGGCAGTTCCTCTGGGCCATTTTTCACGCCATGGGTGCCATAATAGCGAAAATGGTCTCCAACCGCAACTAAATTTGTGTCAGTAATCTGAATTATGGTAGGCAGGAAAGAACTTAAGTCTTGAGTAGGCCTAAAGAAAAGCAGATACTTCTTAGATATCTTCCTTCTGAGCTATTTATAGCGTCATAAATGGTCACCAATGCTTGGTAATTAACTGGCAACCAGTACAGACTTTTCAGCACAAAACTAACCAAAGCCATTTTCACCCCTAAAGCAGGATGTCCACCATGAAAAAATTAAATCCAGGTACTAACAATCCCTGACCTTTGATAATATTCAAAACCTGCTTCCCAAAGGCAGCTGTTTCAGTCTGTCTAATGCTAGGTGATGTTGAACAGAGAAGTTGTGGGGACGGGAGACAGGTTCATTAAACTGCTGCCAGCTGGGCATTTTTCTTTTCCAGATAGCAAAATGCCAGCTATTCCTCCAGTTCTGTGGTAGGGAAAACAATTTGGGGGAGAAAGATTTGGATGGGAAGAATATTCAGCCTGTATTATATAATTTGCCCAAGTTTAGGGTTTTTCCAGAACTTAAGACTAGTTTGTCTGTTTGTTTGTCTGTCTGTCATCCTCCCCCCAACCCCGTGCCTAGTCTGGGCAACCTCAATCCTATTAGCCTTTTGTATTAGCCTGGCTCTTCTCCCATGCATTGGGCCAGGATAGTAATTGAGCCTATCCTGCTGATAAAGTAAATGTTTCTTATCCCCAGCCTCAGTTATGTGCTTATATATGATAGTGGTTTCTTAATTGGATTTTATATCATTTTTTAAATTGGTTTGGATTGTTTCTGATTTATACTGATGTTTGCCACCCAGAGTCATAAATAATGAGTTGAGCAGCTTTATAAGTTTCATAAATGAATGAACGAATCCCAGTAGTATATGTATGTATGTATGAATGAATGAATGAATGAATGAATGAATGAATGAATGAATGAAAATGAATGAATTTTTATTTATTTATTGATAGCATTTACATGGTCACCCAGTTCAAACAGTTTTCATTTTTTGACAGTCACTTGAAAAACGAATGAACAAACATGCATACATAAGTAAACAAGAACAGCACATACAAGTAAAATGAATAAAACAATTAAATGGTGATCAGAGACTAAAATTAGTTTTGTTTTGTTTTTTTATCTGCGCTCAGTCGTTACCGACTCTGCAGTGACTGCTTGGACGAGTCCTTGCAGTTTTCAAGGCAATTGTTTTTCGGAAGTGGTTTGCCAGAGCCTCCTTCCTAGGGCAGAGCCCAGCTGGCGAGCGCAGGAGGCGGGGTTTCCGTTGCTTCGCGCCCTTTTCAGGCGCGCGTGGTTTTTCGCGCTTACCGGCAACTGCTCCCGACTCCTTTTTGCAAGGCGTCGCCAGCATTTTTCCTCCCGCCGGAGTGAGAGTCCCCATTTATCTACTCACGTAAGTTTACGAACTGTTGGGTTGACTCGAACTGGGGAGGAAACAGGAGCTCACCCTGCTAACACAAAGGCTGGACTCGAACCGCTGAAGCGTCGACCATTTCTGGCCAGCAACTTTCAGCGTCATTAAGCCGCTGCTCCACTGCGTCCCCCTAAAAATTAGTTATAACCCATCAAATTAAAAGTGCTAATTCTGACTCTAGTGCCTGAGGAATGGGGGGCCCTAAACCCTAGAGCAGAAATGAGGAAAACACGGCTCTCCAGATCCTATTGAATTACAACTCCCCCCAGAGTCAGCTGTCAAGAATCATGTTGAAGAACGTTGGGAACGATAGTTCAGAAAGAAACAGAGCACCACAGCTTCCCACTCCTACTTCAGAGTAAACAAAAAAATTGAATCTAGGTCTCAATTACAGTAATTCTAAAGTGATCTACTTACATTCAAGACAAAAAGTATTCCTTATAGGCCACCTGTGGGTTACAATCTATTATTTGAAGACCTGCTACACGATACAGCAGAAATCCATTATTGTCTCTTATTGCCCATTATGGTAATACTGAAGTACCATGTAACCTGTAGGACACCAGGTGACAGTAATACTTTTAAGTAAGAATCTCTGGGCAAGTATATCAAGCTTTATTAACAGGACAACTGATACATATACATATGCGCATATGTATACATGTAATATTTATACAGCCACCCATGTCACAGAACATGACTCTGGGTGGTGTACAATAAAAAAAAACAATCTACAAACAGGAGCACCAATCGGGATTACTAGTAACAGAATAGTAGAGAGAGTTATTATTATAGGCAATACAGCCATCTCACTAATTCACCACTTCCCATATATTTGTGAAATGTATTAATTTCAGAAACGTAGCATGTAGGGTAATAGCCCAAAAGCATATTCAGGGTTTTGTTGTTGTTTTGGTGCTTTTGAACCGTTCTTGATTCCTGGCAAGTACCTGGATGAGTCCCTGTGGTTTTCTTGGCAAGATTTCAGAAGTGATTTGCCATTGCCTCCTTCCTAGGGCTGAGAGAGAGTGACTGGCTCAAGGTCACCCAGCTGGCTTCGTGCCTAAGGCGTGGCCGGAACTCACAGTCTCCCGGTTTGTAACCTGGTGCCTTAAGCCACTACACCAAACTGATTCTCATCTTCAGTTTAAAGACTTTTAAAATTACCTTAATGATACCTGTATTTGTATCTGAAACCCTAAGCTTTTTTCCATTACAACCTTTTTTTTACTTCCACTTTTATGCATATGGCCATATACGGCATGTACTATAAAATGAATAACTTTCATCTCCCAAGGGTGATTGCTTCATATTTGTTCTCTGCACTGCAGGCTGAAACTACCTTTTGGACACGATGGGAGAGAATAACTTCAACTGAACTCGATTTCATCTCTCGTGTTCCACACCTTCCCTTGGTACTGATGTTGGCTTTCCTTTCTCTTCTGATAATACATGTTTTTTCCAACAACACTGTCATTTTTTTTTTCTTTTGTATTGGTGCATGTAAACAATTCATTCATAAGTGAAGTGCATTTGGTAAGCCTGCCAACTACTTTAGCATTTGTGAATGCGAATGGGGATGTAAACACAGCTGTTATATGTATTGGATTTATTACCATATTAAGTCTGGTACTGTTGCATGCCCCCTTGCCTTGGACAAGCAGGACTGAATCCTAGAGAAAGATGGAATAGAGGCTCATAGCCCGAAATAGCTGTTTGAAAAGTTTTTTGGTTTTTTTTGTTGTTTGTTTTTTTGGAGGGGGGTAGTGATTTCTGCTTGAGTTTAAGCACACCATTTTGTGCTTAATTTGTGGAGATGGCTATACTGGAATTACATAGCCTTTCCACAGGTAGAGGTGTTGCACAGCAGTGTCTTAAGATGGCTGAGAGAGAACATTTGCTGTTTGTTAATGCATCATAACTCAAGTACAGTACCAGCAAAGAGCAACTGAACACTGTTTCCTGAGATGCTGCCAGCAGCCTTCAAAGCTATAAGGAGAACACAGCTGCTGATCAGCTCTCCTCTCTGGTGAAAATTTATTTAGTATAAATATTGTTTACTGCAACCTTGTTTGGTTGGTGGGCACTCTTGCTAGATGGCAGCCATGGCAGGTGTTATCAGTCCCAAAATATCAATGTATCAGAAGGAAATTTGGTGAAGATCTTCCCCATCATTCTAATTCCCAAGGACCTCCCTAGTAGCTCTCCTTTTGATGCTGTTTGCCTGTTTTTTGTTTTTTTTGCAAGAGTGCACCCTTCCAAGCCAAGCATTGGGATGCAGCCACATAGCTGTTGTACGTTCTCAAAATGCATAAGGAATCCCATGCAAGGCCACAGGCTTTGCTGGGAATAAAGTTGATGCTGGCATTTAAGCTGTAACATGTTCCCCAGTTACTTATTTTGAATTAAAGGATTCTTTAAAATTGTAAAAGTCATGACTGACAGGGATTCTGGTGGGCACCAACCAATGCTTGCTCTTTGGGCACAATGATGCCCTTCAGCATCAGATAAGTTACCTGTGATTTAATCCAATGCCAAGAAATGCATCCCTTATGTCACCTGACCAAGAGCCAGCTGAGATAGAAACCCTTAATAGACTCAGCCTTAATGGGCTATGGAGCAGGAAGGGGGATTAAGTTTATGTATTTCATTCTGGCTTCTTACAGACACCTATGGACAAGCATTCATAATACCCTCCTAGTGACCTATGGCTGGAACCCCAATTTCTTTTCTTAAGAAATGTCCATACAGTAATTCCTTTATGTGTTAAGCCAAGGCAAACCTGTCACTCTATTTCAGTGTTTCTCAACCTTGGCAACTTTGAGATATCTAGACTTCAACTCCCAGAATCCCCCAGGCAGTCTGGCTGGCTGGGGAATTCTGGGAGTTGAAGTCCAGACATCAGTTGCCAAGGTGGAGAAACACTGCTCTATTTACTGGATCCAGAAACACCCCTTCTTCCTCTAGCTTTCATTTTTTCTGAACTGCATTTCTCAATAAATTCATCCCGAAGGTTCCCACAAACTGTTTGTTGATTTAGTTTTAGAATTTCTGCATTTAGAATGCTATTGTTGTAAGAATAGCCTTAACTTTTTCCAGTGAAACTTTATTTCATTTATCCCTTTTGGTCATGTGCAATAAAGTACTAGACAAATTCTGGTATGGGTATTTTTGAATATGAGCAATAGTCCAGATATTTTATACCAAAGCATGTTCATTAAATGGAAAAAAAGGCATTTCTAGGTCCACAATCCAACCCCAACTCCATTGTTAGAACTGTACATTTAAAAAATGTGAAGCACACGTGAAACCTAGCAGGGATCCATCTGGCCCTGTAAGTACCTATAGCTCCAGGAAGAGGTAGTAGAATGAGTACATTTCTGAGGAAAGATTTAATGCTTGGAATGAATGTTTGTATATACTCTCTTCAAAAGGAAAGCTGTAATCCATTACTCTCTGTCCTAGACATTTTAATGCTACTTTTCTATTAGATCAATTGAAGAGACAGAGCAAGATAGGTAAAGTCAGAGAAAGGCTGGATATTTATTGGTTGTCTTTAATTAAATCACTCTATGATCATGAAGTTAGACTAGTCTTTGAACAATGAAAAAAGGACTTCATGTGTGGGCTCATCCAACATCCCAGCTCGACCATTAAACACTTAAATTAAGAAAGTAGTTTATATCAGAGAACCTACTAAAAAAAAAATCAATAGCAAAGCAAAAGCTATTTATGGTCTAATATCCTTTCTTTCTTACATCCGAGACCAGTAAAAAATACAGCGATGTTGAACAAGTGTGTCTTAAGTTCCTGCAGAGTTTAGATTGGATTAAATGCCCATCATTTAACTGAGAAAACAAACTCGCTCAGAATCTACATTCATTGACATTTATATATTTATACATCATTACAAACAAATCCCAAAGCAGGAAATAATCACCTTTTGTGTCTGTTTAAATAGACCTTTAAGTAGCACTTGGAGAAAATTACTCAACGCATTGTACTGTAGTAAGCCCCCATTAATATGCCTGTGTAATCATTTGCTGCTGTAGCCAATGATTATGATAAGGTACTTGATGACATTATAGTCCTGTGGTTAACATCTAAATTTAGGGTCTCTCCAAGTAACAACACCCCTTCATCCTTTTGTATTAGCAGCACTGTAGGCGTGTAACTGGGCCCAAAAGATAACAAATAGCATAAAAATATGGTGGTAACAGGTGGGGAAGAAAGTAAGAACATGCTTGAAAAGAGATGGTCTGCTTCTTACCTTCCTTTCCTCCAATTTTATTAAAGAAATTTGTTTGCAAAAACTTACACATTAGAAACAACTGCAAGCAAAAACATGCATAAGCTGCATTCAGATTTCCACGTGAACTAAAAACAATCTCTCAAACTTAAATGGAGATTGGATGAAATGAACTTAAAACTAGGAAACTGTAAAATGGATAGAAAATAAAACTTTGCCCACATCAGTCTTCAACTATTGTTATGTATAAAGATGTAGGTGAATATTTGCTGTAAATGCCAACTTCAGATGTGTAGTTGTGGAAGCGATTAGAGAACATCCATGGAGGGATTCATCTGTTCGTTTTCTGCATCCATCATCTCTAACCAAAACAAGCCACTTCTAAGCACATTTGGATTCAACCACTACAACAAAAACAAAACACAGTTCACCTGTCTTGGAGAGAGAAATGGAATGGTAAGAAAGAATTGGTCAAGACCAACTGCATGTCACATTATTTAACATACTTTATCTTACAGTAGCAAAAGTTCTCAAAGGAGTTTGAGCTATTGATAATGCTTTTTCTATGCTGATATGACACCATATCTCAGGAGGATTTTTGAGGGTCAGTCTACTAATGAATTGTTTATTTTTCAGAAATAATTTAGTTGATTCACACCACTGACGAGCAATGTGAAAACCGCATTGATGTGCAATGGTGTTTTTAAAGAAAATAAGCAAGACTGTTAATGTTTTTTCTGCTGGGTATTTCTAGACAAATTATAGCCTTTTTATCTATTTTTTTTCATTATATGACAGAGTTTATTTGCTAGACCCATTTAGAGTTTGTAGTTTCCATTAAGGATAAGAATTTAGGCTGTTCTTTCTCAGTTGAACCTTAAGTGAGTGAGCACACAAGGAAACAGACTTTCACTATAAGAAAATAATTGTACCATCCCAGCTTTAATAATGGAATACTATAAGGGGAAGTATATGATGAGATGAACAATGTTCAGTAAAATACTGGACTTTTTTTTTAATGATCAGTCTCATTTAGGAATATGGAAACCTGTCATTTTTATTTTTCTTAATTTGTCAGTTTTGCAAATGTCAGTTTCAATTTTGGTGGGAGATCTTATTTTTTTCTCTCTGTCCTATTTCTATGCCATTTTAGTCTAGAAGCTCACTGAAATGTAGATATATTTTTATCCAGATTGCTCTTAGGGTGCATATTTTTGTTTGCAGATCTACAGATGTTTGCACATCCCTAACATCTCTGTATAGTCTTTTCATCAGTACATGCATTTTTGTGCAGATTTTCCCCTAATATACACTCCTTTTAAATTAGTAAACTGTATTGCAAGATTAGCAATTTTGACTAACTGAACCAAGTGGTGTAACATTGCAAAAATGAAGAACTAGGTTCACTTCCAAATGAAAATTAAGCATCTTTCCCCTTCCTTAATATTACTATATCTTGAATTGTAAAGAGCAAGCTCAGGCTGTACTCCATGGTGATTATACTTATTTTTTATTTGCAGTGTGTTGAATACATGAGTATATTCCATTGAGTTCAATGGGCCAAACTCCTTTGATTGCAGCCATACTTAAATTAGAACAATTTTTCCCAATGTGACTATTCCATATATCTTGGGACTGGGAGCATCAGAATTCCCAGCAAGATAGCTGGAAGTTGTAGTCCCAACATATCTAGAAGTTTTCAGGTTGGGGAAAAATAGATTTAGAATCTTAGGGATAATGTTTCATGTCACATCAAGTACTGCTGGCATGATACAACCATAGCACACCTTTAGGAAATCGTACCTGTGGTTCTAGTACAATGTGAAATACAAGAGTCTTTTGTAAAATCAGAATCAGTGGCAAAAAGTTACTAGATTAAGTCACACTGAAATCTGACACTCTCTAGCCTTCATTATCTAATTCTCTATCGTATGCTGTACTTATTTTTAATTTTGTACTGTTCGTCTGCAGACAGGGGTGCCTTCAAGACCTGAAAACAGCCTGTTTGCAAACGAACAATGCAAAATTAGAAATAAATAATATAATTAACTTTCTATAGTAGTCTTCATTAAATAACATTTAAGGAAGGTGGATGGTAAGCCACAATTTAATCAAACAAGAACCAGAGTGTCAGAAAAACATATGGTAGACAATAATAAAACAATTAGAGCCTGAAAAAGTTAGGCAGGGTTGGCCCTGGTTAATAATTGGTCGTGGTGGGGACACCATTCGGAAATGCCAGGCTGTGCTGTAGACTGGGAAGTAAAACAAAGAAACAAAAGAATCTCAGAAGAAGACCAAACCGCCTCTACATTATTGCCAAGTAAATCACATGGACATGGGCATACAGTTACCAAGCTGAGCTCAACAAAGGAGATAATTACCTTTTATCTGTCTGTTTCAGTAAACCTCTCCCTCAAATCGTTGAGTCTTATAGCATCTTTAACATTTATTATGGCATACATTTCTATATACTGGAAATAGGCTTTCTTTGAGAACAAATGAAT